GTGAGATGAAGCTTTAACATCTTTGCCTCTAGGCAGCACTCTGGTTTCACCTTCCCCTAGACATAGGTGTTTATTCTTTTAGAAGTCCACGGGATATTCATTTCTCTTCTCTAATACCACACATCAAAGTAATCCATTTTAAACATTAATAGAAGTTAAATTTAATCTTTTTTATTAACATTTCTAAAAAATTTTGTTCATTTAGTTTGTCCAATAAGTTTTTATGTGATTCATCATTGGTAAAGTTTGATTATATAGATTACTCACTCACTCATTTATTGCTATAATTTATAACTAACTTAAAGCAGAGCTTTCATTGTGTTTGAGGCTATAAAATGCCCATGAGAAGGTTGCCTGTCTTCCTCCCACGGAGCTGCTCTTCAACCATTAAGGAGGCATGGGCTTCGGGTTAGAAGCACCATTTAAAGACTTCCTCATCAGATCTCCCTTAATCTTGGCATTTCTAATAATAATTATAGCTTCATCAATGTAAAATTTTATTTTCTAAATAATTGAAACAATCACTAAAATTTTAATATGTGAAGATAAGTCGACTTAACATGATAATTTTTATAATGAAAGTTTACAGATTAATGGAAACACCATGCTTAATTATACACCTCCTTCCTCTTAGACCAACCTTTCATTCATTTCAAGTATCTTGTTTTAATGTAGTAAAACATTTTTTTAAAATGACTCAAGCTCATTGCTGTTGAGTCAGAACCAATTTGTAACTTAACTTCCAGTGAGTTTTTATAGCTTATCATTTTCAAAGGAGGAGATTACCTATCTTTCTCCCATGGAATAATGGTTGGATTCAACCACTTGCTTTTGGGTTGACAGTGCAATACCCTAACCACCAGGAGATCAGAACTCCCTTCAAAACTCAAACTCATTATCATGTTATCAGGGCCAATTCATAGCTGACCCTTCAGCAAATTTTTGGAGACTCTAAATTACTCTGAAGGAGATTGACTATCTTTCTTCATAATGTAACTGGTGACTTTGGACCACTCTTATTGAGTTCACAGCAAAACTCCTGACCCACTAGGCCACCAAAGCTCCTTTTAAGAAGACTATCTAGATTAGCACACTCTGGTGACCTACAGATAAGAATCTGCACTGCAATCTCAAAGGTACATGGTTCGTATCCACCAGCTGCTTCACGGGAGGATGGGCAATCTCCTGTGTGATTTTACTGCCTCTGAAAACCCATTAGAGGGTCATCTATGTGTCAGTTCTGACTTGAAGGTACTTAACAACAGCTAACATTAACAATACTTTCTTTTCAAATATGTTTATGTAGAGATAGCAGTTGTGAGATCAGTTATAATTTGAGAGTATAGCTTATTGCCGCCAAGTCAAAACTGTTTTATAGCTGACCTTCCAGTGAGCTGCCAAGGCTGTAATTCTCACAGGAGGAGATTGACTCATCTTTCTCTCTCAAAGCAATGGATGGAGTTGAACTGTCAGAGAAACATAACCTTTAGGTTAGAAACGTGATTCCACACAGTTTAGACCATAGGTTTGTGTAATTGGAGG